TTTCATATCTCGATTTGTACCAGTGAAGTTGGTGATTGATATTTAGAATTGACGTAGTTGAAAACAACAGAGCACTTTTTAATTCGAACTTTAAGAGGGGAGCTCGTAGTATAATGGTTTGCGAGTACGTCTTCCACACTAGGGCGCAAGTTCGACCCCCGGCCCATTCATGTACCCTAAACACTCACGAATAAACAAATGTTGCAATAGCATATACTTTCTCGCATTATTTCTAACTTCTACAGTTTTCGTAAATTCAGCGAGTTTAGAGAAAATGAGAGTGTCCCTTGTTCTATTCGTGAAAATTAAATTGTACAAAAATGAAACGAATTTAGAGAAAATTAATTTTTTTATGATTTACATAAATTCCAAGCAGAAATTGCGCTAAAACTAGTAGTTTTTTTCAAAAATTGTACAAAACTATGATTTAAATAATTGGATTTTTTTAGAGCAGACTTCGTTTAGAACAGAAATATATATGATCAAATTAGTAGTTTTTGCAGTATCCATAGTGCATTTGCAAAATACAAAACTTTTTGCAATTTCGAACATACAGAGATTCGCTGGAATAGGGACTAGTACCATTTTTAGCATCCTTTGATGCGTATGAGAAAAATGTAGAATAAAATTAGAGTCTTTAGAGATATTGTTAAAAAAATTGCGTAAATTTCAAGCCAAATTACGCAAAAACTACTCATAATTTTAAAAAATGTTACATGAGTATATTTCAATATCGGACTTTGGAAAAGCAAGTTTTAATCATAAAAAATATCACTAGACTAATTCATTGTGTTAGTTGCAGGGAGACGTGATAAAAAAGGTCAGACTTTGGCAATTTTCAAAAAATCGGTTACTTCAACGTCAATGAGATCTTTTAAGGTATCAGGAAACAAAAATTTGGGGCCATTGTTGAGAACATTTTGAAAATGTAATTGAAATTTCAAGTAAAGAACCTCAAAAATCAAAATATTGGTTTCAAACTCGAGTTTCTTTAAATCAATCCATGAATATCAGTTTTGGAGAAAATTCGCTGAACGATTTAGGCCCTAGCGTTGACCACAGATGGACGGAATGGCAGACGTTTTGCCGTCAATCGATTTTTCGGTTATCAAGGATCCGCAAAACATGATGTATGACTACACAACGTATCAGAGGAAATAATTTCCTATACAAGTATATGGGAATAAAATTTATCCTCTTTGTGAGTAAGGGCCGGCAATATTAGTAAACCCGAAGATTTTAAATAAAACGCAAAATCTCCGGGTAAAACCCGAGGAAGTGGCAACTCTATTTCTAATGTAATGAGTTTTATAAGTGATGACTAAGATTTCTCAATATGGACAGAATGTGCAATATTATATTACGTAATAATTATAAACGTTGTCATTGCCAACAATAGTATTTATTACAAGAGCAGCTTTCGATGGCTTAGCCATCATCATCAGTTGTCTTGTGTAAGAAGAAAAAAACAAAACATTAAAACGTGAATTTTCTTTTGATTTTACAACAAAATTATAATAAAGGTTACTAATAATTTACAATTGTAAATTTTATTGTTTTTTTTTCTTGTACTAGACAACTGATGATGATGGCTAAGCCATCGAAAGCTGCTCTTGTAATAAATACCATTGTTGGCAATGACGTTTATAATTATTTCATTAGAAATGTAAACGATAACGCACCACAACACCTATATTATATTACGTAACCATTAATAAGTGCGAGAAAGTACGTGCTGTTGTAACACCAGTTGTTTAAAAAACCTTTCATACTTAAATATATTATTTGAGCGTAGGAACACGGATTTCTGTCCGAAGAACCTATGCCCATTGCAACAAACATCCTCCAATTTTGCTTTATTTGTTAAAAGGGCTGAAGCCCAGGACATCAGCCCTTTCATCAAAATGAAGTTTATGCCTTTGGGGAGACTGAATGTATTTAAACTTATTTTGGAACAGATATTGGTAATGTAGGTAGACATTGTTGAAAGTGTGGTAATGTTGAAGGTGGGGTGTGTGTAACACTGTATAATTTACGATTGTGAAATCGATGCTGCAGATGATGTCGTTAGGAAACTAGTGGCAGCAGCACATAAAACAGCACCTACTTTCTCGCCTTAATTAATAGTTATGTAATACTTTTTATACCACAATTTCCGAATTAACACATCTCAATCATAATTGTAAAACTCATCACAAATCGTACAACATTTGGTGCAAAAACTAAATATCTTCAAGCAAATATCAACACATATTTGACAATTATAACTGTGTTTCATACAGGTATATCATGTCCCAACAATAAGGCGTAATTTAAGAAAGGAGTCATTGTGGCCGAATCATTGTTGCATTCCAATCTGATGTTTTCTGATAAGCAATTTTTATTTCATATACTTCAAATAGTTTTAAATAATTTCTAAAAGAATAATTTGTAAATGCGTAACTAAAGCTCCAAAGTAAGAAACTAAGAAATATAAAATAATATTTAAATTCTAAGTTAGAAAGTATCCATCTGCCTGGAATAACGTTCATAAAGCCCTGTAAATTCGGAGTGGACTATCTTTGTCGCCAAATTACGCAACAAGTACTCATATTTTCAAAAACTTTAGAATGACCTTATTTGAAGATCTGTTTATAATAAACACATTTCGTTAAAAAAATGTATCTTCACAACTGTATTTGTAGGAAGACACCGAAAATTTGTTAATTTTTTTCAATTTTCGAAAAATCTTGCATTTTAATGAACATGAGAACTGCACTATTATCTTTAGCTTCCTGAACGCAAAGGCGTAAATTCAATCAATAATTTTGTGCCGTTCTAAAAATAGTTTTAAAAAATTGCCTATATTTGATACAAAATTTAGCAAAAAAGTCTTATGTCCTTGAAAAATAGAACATGACATTATTTTTAAATAGTGTTTCATGAACACATTTCGTTAAGAAAAAATTGTTTGCCTTATTTGCAGTTGTAGAAAGATGCCGAAAAATTTTAGAAAATTTTCAACTTTCAAACAATTAAGAGTAACGCCGGGCCTATGTGCGCGCTGGGCCCCGCATGTCGGGAGGCCGGTGAGGGGCCGGGAGCAGTTTTTGGCGGCAGGCGAAAGACCGCCAAGCTCCTTGGGAGGGGCGGGGCGGCGTGTCGCTAGCTTTGGCTGCGAGGTGTGGCTGTTCGCCACGGGACGAGAGGCCTGGAGCGACGCTAAGGGTAGCCGCTGGGGGTCTGTGTCGGTCTGAGGCGGAGCCTTAGGGAATGGAGAATGTGGAGTGCGAGTTCATCAGGAGTATTATTGTATAGAACAACTGTAAATAAATCTGTACATAACAACTCCCGTGTTTCACTCGCATGACGACGACGTCACAATATCAACGAAATGAGACGCGCACCACTCTCTTAAACGTCCTTCTCGCTAACCAAAAACAAATCTTAATCAAAAACATTGGAACCAATTTTGGATAGGTTTGAGAATGTCCCAGAGGATTCATGTAAAGTACACCTTAAAATTAAAATATCGGTTTCAAATTATAATTTCTGTTTCTCATTATTGTTAATGTTTGATTTTTCGAAAAATTAAGTTTTTTTTAGTTTTTGAGCGTCTTCCTACAACTACAGATATAACAATAAACATTTTGTCTTAATGAAATGTGATAAAAAACACAATCTAAAAATAATGTCGTGTTAAATTTTTCAAGAACATAAGAATTTTTTGCGAAATGTTGTTTCAAACGGGCAATTTTCAATTTATTCAAACCATTTTTTTTTTCAAATAAAACAGCACAAAATGCTTTGATTAAATTTAGACCATCGATAGCGAGCGTAAAGGACGCTTGAGAGAATGGTGTAAGTCTCATGTTTGTTGAAATGCCTGAGTGTTTAAAATTAAAAAAAAATCTTTCAGGCTCTTTCTACAATTGTGAAGATGCAATTATTTTTCTTAACGAAATCTGTTCATCACAAACAGATCTTGAAATAAGCTCAAGTTGAATTTGATGAAAATATGAGTATTTGTTATGTAATTTGGCGACAAATATAGTCGCTAACTCCGAAGTTAGAATTTGTATATTATTTCATATTTTTTGTTTGTTCCCTAAATTTGAGCTTTTGTTATACATTCACACATTAAAGTTTTAAATATTATTTAAAGCCTTTTTCAAATACATGAAATAAAATCCGTCAGGGAATATCAGATTAGAATGCAACAATTGTTCAGCAACAATGACCCGGGAGCTATTTTCTTTGAATTACGTTTTCATGTTGAGTCACGATTTATCTTTATGAAAAGCAGTTGTAACTGTCACATTTGTGTTGATATTTGCTTGAAAATATTTTGATTTTGCATCAAATGTTCTACGATTTGTAATACGTTTTACAAAAAAATATGCCTGATATGTGTTAATTCGGATGGAAATTGTGTTATAAATAGTATTACATAACTAATACTAAAGGCGGAAAGTTTGTGGTGTTTTAGCACCACTAGTTAACTAGTATGCTGTTCAGAAATGTGAATTGGGTAAACACAAATGCAGCAGACAGTTTACAAAAATTAAGAGAGCGAATAAAAATACTCATTTTGTTCCTCCTCTACAATTTTTTGCACTTGCTCTTCCTTTTAGCAAATAGTATATTCAAATAATGAATTACAAGTAATTAGCGCACGCTTCTGTCTTGATACTCGCGTTTGAATATTAGTGTTTTATTCGATAAGTAATTTTCATGTAATATCCAAAACTTGCTACGAATTTCGAGGGAAATCCAATTACCATTAAATCAAATTGAATTAGTTCCAAGTACCGCGTGTTGTTTCCAGCGAGGATTTCAAAAAAATAAACCTGATAAGTAGGTACCACTTTAACAGAATCCTGAAACAACTTCTCTGGGTAGTTGTGAGCTCAAATGTTGACAGACTTTGAACGCAAGCAGAGGGTCCCGTGAGGTTAATCGCCGGAAACCGAATACAATACTACTGCGCGTCTTGATGCCCTGTTCTTTTTCCCGCGGAGGCGCTCGGCGGCGAGTGCGTGGCGGTGCAGTTGCGGGCGGCGGCGGCGACGGCGAAGGCGTGCGCTGAGCGATGGCGGCGCAGAGCACGCTGCGCCTGGCGGTGCTGCGCGACCGCCGCTGCTGGGACGTCGTGCACAGCTTCACGGGTAGCTGCGCCCGCTTCTACCTCGCCGCCCTGCGCCGCTCCGCCGTCAACACGGCCGGCCTCTTCGCGCCGCTCTACTGCGTGAGTACGCCCTCGTGCGTTTGGCAGAGGAACAAATCGTGTTTACTTAAAAGTGCTGTTTGACTGGTGTTTTAGTTTCCGGTCTATAAAAAGATCCATACCTGTTGCAATAGAGAAAGCAAGATTTATCCACTTCTTCGATGCCATGACCCCCACGATACGAGATTTTATGTGGAAAAATCGTCGATTTTTGTCGCAGCATTGCAATATTTTGTCTTTACTACGTAAGTACGTTGTAAGGCGAGAAAGTAAAAATAATTCAATTGAACTTCGAAGTATCACATCTGAAGGTGAGAATGAAAAATTCTGGTTACGGAATATTTCGATACTAGCAAAATGTGGAGACGCCGACTCTTAAACTGTTTTAAAAATAGTTTCATGCGTTGAAAATGTTTCATACTTCATTTCTTTCATGCCCAACTTTGTGTAAATATATTATTTCAGTACCTGGCATTGGACTTACCAATGAGTCGTAGTAGCTGATAATGTTATACTCCCGTTCAAAAGTACCCAACGCCCAATGGCCTTGCGTGTTGCCTCCATACGGGATATGAACTGCGTCTTTTTGCAATTTCAAAATCGTAATTGCTGTCAAATATACTGGCAAGTTTAGATGCTAACAATTAAGTTTTTTTGGTAATATATATAAAAATGCACATAGCACATTTGCTTTAGCACAAATGCTTAAAGCAAAACTGCAGATCATTCCCATTTAGTTTCAAAAATTCTACCGCAACATCTTTTACAACTACATTTCATTCTTCCCCAGATTTCCTTAAAATATCCATATTTTTCTCCCCTGATGTTTCAAGAGATTAAAACTTCACAATTTCAATCTAATTTGTGTTCACTTATACTTCTGCAATTGTTCTATTAATCGTTTTGTATACAAATGTAATATTAAAAGGTGATTGTTTTGAATGTTATGTGAATAATGTTTGTTAATTTGAATAAGATTAAGTTGTGGGTCACATTAATTTGAAAATCGGTATTTGCACACTTACGTGAAATCGCAAACGGGAGAAGTCGAACAAAACTTTCATTCATTCTCTAGCTTTACTCACAGCTTTGTTTTCTTCATATTTACTTGAAGTTCTTCAAGTTCAATAAGTTCCGAGGCAATACTGTTCGCAGGTATTCTCAAATTTATTTTTTTAAATACGATAATAATTCGGCTCTAAATTGAAATCAAATTGCAGTGCGATTTACTTGGTACTTCAATTGTTCACTTAAAGATATCAACATTATGAAACGTATTGCCAACGTCGGGAAAGAAAATTATGGCGTATTAAGCAAAAAATTTCTTTGAGTTCTGGTATTTAATCGACGCCACTTATATAGATGGATTTAGGATCGTTGGTTTAATGCCTGGCTAAGATCGCAGTGACAAAACACGAAAAGAACACATTTTTGGAAATTTCTGTAAATCTTCTTACGGGATTCAAAAACAAATTATCAGTTCCCCATCAGGAGACAGAGACTCGTAGAATTACACCTCATCTCGATTGGTGCACGGGAAGAAGTCTAACGGAATGGCAATAACACACATCTGTACACTCAAGAGTTTACCTGAAATACTGTTTAGTCATAGCGAGGTTTCACATTTATTCAAATACACAAGTGCAGTGCATTTAACGAGCGAAAAATATGTGTAATGAGTATCCGGTGACACAATCCGAAGCTATACTTTCGACATTCCCTCGGCTACGTCTCTTGACGACTCACTCAAGCAATTATGGATCGGTGCCTCGCCACACGCGACAATGTTTAAACCTCTCACGATATCACGATGCGGAAGGTGATCAAACAGTAGTGAATACGAAGCAGAATAATATCGTATAAATCGTTCTTGTTATTCGCAATTTATTTATTTTAGGAACCGTACTGTATTAATTTGATCTTTACGTAAAATTACAAGTTTAAAATTCAGTGCCGAACAAAGCTTTGTGTTTTCTTAATTACAATATGACCATTATAAATGGCGATTGAGCTTTTAATTTTATAACTTAAAATATCCAAGCTGCACACTACGAGTATTTCACGGCATGTACAAATAACGATTTAGAGCTATATAATGTTAAATATGTGATAAGTATTATACACACGAAACACATTAGCAAACAAAAATCACGAAACACACAGCACAAAAACACAGGAAATCCGTGATGCTCCAACAGCACATACTTTCTTGTAGTGTTGGTGACGCCAATACGACAATCGGCAGAGTAAGTTCTATAGAAACTGACACGGCCGTGTCCGGGGGGCCCAATTCTCCCCAAATTCAAAAAGAAATAATAAGTCTTATCTAAAACTGGTTCACTAAAATTGTACAAGAAATAAATGAAGAGCCATTTTTTTCTATTATAAGGAACGCAACGCAGACGTGTCAAAAGTTGAGCAATTAAGTCAAATTTTACAATATGTAACCATCGAGAAAAATGAATCCGGCAAACCGATTAAAATAAAAAAAATGAATTAATAATTAATAGGATTTAAGAATGTCGAAGATCAATCGGCCCAAGGTTGGCATTTTGATATTGTCGAGGGCCTAAAATAAAAAAGGCATTGATTTATGTAATTGTTGAAATCAGGATACGATTACCCAGCAGTTATGAGTGGAATTGACAATTGTGTTGAGAAAAAACATTAGAGGATGTTGACAAGGCATTATTTATCTTGCTGCACATAATATAAATCTTGTTCTTAATGGTGCCGTTAATGAGATATTGGAAGTTAAGACATTTTACTATTTGCCGGAACGAATTTATGTTTTGTTAGGTCATAGCTTTAATCAATGAATCATATTATCATCCGTGATGAATGTAATAATCTTACAATCAAATGAAAGAAATAATCTTACAATCAAATTACATAGTCCTGCAAGAGTGTTATCACTGAACGATTCCTTACTAGCAATAATATTTGAATATTTTAATATTTTGCAAGCTTTAACATTAAATTTTCTAACAAAAACTGTGAAGCGAATGGTGCTGAAATAAAAATGAAAACATTTGAAATGGAAACAACGTTAGTCATTAATATTGCAGAATATATTTTTTTGTCCTACATACTTCTATTTCGTTCATTTTTACTTTCTCGCACTGACTTAACGTAAAAAAAGAAAGTATTGTAATCGTGCGCAAGAAAACGTCGAATTTTCGAGATAAAAACTCTTTTTGGCGGGTCCTGGTAAGGAAAAGGTGGATAAATCCAGTTGCTAAATATATAAAAAAAGTCCTCTAACACGTGATGTAGCCATAATCCAAGATTTTTCGGTCCTTGATACCTAGAAATTGATTGACGGAAAACGTCTGTGCACAAAGCTAGCGCACAAACCGTTTAGCCTGTCTTCTCCAAAATTGATATTTCCCAATCCTTCTAAATGATGTCGCGGACCCTGGAAATTGAAACCGAAATTTTTATTTTGGGGTCTCTTTACATGAAGCACCTGGGACATTTTCAACATGAAAAAAATGGCTCCAAATGTTTCGATTAAATTTTGTTGTTGAATAGTGCAAAGGACGTTTAAGAGAATGGTGCACGTCTAATTTTCATTGACATCCCTGATTTTTTCGAAAATCGAAAAAAAGTGTTAACTTGAAAATTTCAGTTGTTTCTCTCAAACAGTCTGTTGCACAAAATTAGCTCTTCAAAAGCGATCAAGTACAATTTTTTTAAAAGAGTAGTTTTTGCGTATTTTGCGATTGGCATTTACAAAATGAATCTCAAAAATCGCTCGAATTTTTTCTTCAAGTTTTTTTCTTATGTAAAAAGAGACTATAAAAATGTGGTAGTCATATTTTCGGGTATTGTTTGAGTTTTTGAAAATTTCAACAAAAAACATTAAAACTACAAAATCGAAGATATAGATTTTGCCTCAGACCAAGTCTGTTGTACAAAATTAGCTCTTAAAAAAAACATGTACATTTTTTTAACGAGTAGTTTTTGCTTTACTTCTGGTTGAAATAAATGAAATATAATATATTATATTATACAGGTTTCACACCAACCCCCGGCCACGAAAAAATTTGAAGGAATGATATGAAAAATATTTCCAGAAGTAATGTCCAGGTGATTAATTTGTAATATTTATTACTTGATCGTTTCTTTCTGGGCCTGGAGACCATTGTAATTTCTAATATTTATAAGATTTATCTTGATGGATACGAGCGCGGTGTTGCCGATATTTTTTCTTTTAATTATAATATGCAAAATAAAAATGGGCTATTATGTCACTTATTAATGCTTATTGATTGTCTATTTAGTTATTTTTCGTATCTTTTAGTTGGAGGCAATCATTGATAGATTAAATCAGAAACGCGATACTTGAAAACGTTTGGATTCCATGGTCACCACACTTCAACCCACTGGTAATTTCGCATAATATGGCATCTCTGTACAGAACTTAAAAACTCCATTTTTTCCGTTGCGTCAGAACGAAATATTTGGAGTTGATAATTAAATAAGATTTACGAACGAATTGATGCAAGTAACATTCGTTATGTTGTTTACGTCTAAATTTTTCCGAGTAATTAATTATTTTTGTACTTAAAAAATTTAACTCTGCAGCACCAAAAAATTATTTGTCAAGCCCGCTTTACACGGTCATTTTGTGCATCATTTCTCGTCGGTTACAGACATAGTTACTGACCAGACTGGATGCAATTTTTACGTAAAAAATGAAGCATTGCCTTCATTTTTTCCGTACAAATTGCATCCCAGTTTGACATTATGCGCTCCTGTGTGTTACTCTATGGAACTTTCTTCGATTCCGTGCCCTGGAGAAGTTGTTCGAACGTTAGAAGGTTTTGTGCTGGTTTTTCAGTCATTCTCATGAATCTCTATTAAACCAGTGTGGGCTTCGTTGAAGGCGCAATTCGTTGTCTACCATGTGTAGCAGACCCACACCAGGTCTCTCTTTCTGCACCCAGATTTCACCCCAAGTACAGTGCGTTTTCTTTCTTTTACGTTCTGCTTTTACTATAGTGAAGCCATTAATA